TTATGTTTTTTAATAGATTGTATTTATTTTGCCCTTGGAAATAACAACAATTGTTTGTTATAATCCAGGTGTTTGGCTAATTGCATGGAGTTCTGATTCAAATATTGCCAAAACATCTGTACTTATTATCATTTCCATAGCTTAGCAATTTGTCGGTTCATGGCTTGAGCATTTAGGCGTCCTCCTCTGTGACCTTCAATATTAGCTTTGTCATTGAGATGAATGGATGTGACAACCAAAAGCAAACATTTCTTAACGAGATGAAGTAGTTGTGCTTTGGTAGATGCAGCTATTTCTCTGGTCCCCGGTTTGTACATCACATTTCTGAACATTACAATACTGGATGTTCCTCCATGAAATTATTCAGGGAGAAAGGACCAGTACCTTTCGGTCTTGATCCATTAAAATTGCTTAAATATTTGGTTATCTTTGGTGCTAACGGTCAGATAAGTGTATGCATTAAGTGATCTTCTGGATTGGAAAGGAGGCCTAGGAAGTCATAACCTAGTTTGCAGTTACAAACTCATGCTTTTCTCCAAAGCTGTCTTGGGAGGATGACAGGATGGTTATGACAACCCTGCCTTCTCTATTCACAGGTGTTCCCTTTCCAAAGAACTTCCTTCAGATCTGCAAGAAGATACTCTGCCGGCTTTTTCGGGTGTTTGTTCACGTCTACATCCATCACTTTGACCGTATCATCCTTATGGGGGCTGAGGCCCACGTCAATACCTGTTACAAGCATTTTTATTACTTTGTGACAGAGCTCAACCTCATAGACCGCAAAGAACTAGAGCCTTTGGTAAGTGTGGGGTCTGGGGGAAAGCTCTAGGAAATTTTCCTCCTCCCTTCACTGAGCCTTTCCCACACTTGTTGCAGTGGGTTTCCTCTGGGAATAAGGTCCGTGCTTGAACACAGGCAGTTTAAAGTGATGAAGTCTTGCCTCTGTCTGTGGACCCATTCCATTTGCTGCAGTATTTGTGAGATGCTCAGTAGGCTCAGTAGAAAGAGAAAAGTGCAATGTATTTTGCATAGAAAAATACAAGGTGGGAAATACTGCCATTTGAAAATGGAAGTTCATTTGTTTTCTGCTTCTTCCTGTACTATATATTTTATATATAATTTTATTCTGTCTTTTTTCATTGGTCAATAACAGCATGGTACTCGTAGCAGTCACTTGAATGCATGTGAAGGGAACAGTGGTCTATATAAAGGTGAATTGGATTTTTTTAATTATTTTTAAGTAGGTGTTTGTGAAGGTATTGAGTGTGTTAGATCCAGAGTGTGCTCTGGATCTAAGTGAGACAGATGAGGTGAGACAGAGGTTCAGACAATTAGCAGTGTAACAAAACCAGACACTTCCTTTTGGACTGAAATTTAAATTGAAAAATTAAATACATTGTTTCCAAAAGTAAGGCTCCAGAAATGGAAACGCTTTTGCTGTTGCTTGCAAATGCAAATAAAATGAAAGTGTAAGCAGAGAATGAAAAGTAAGGCGCAATTCAGAAAGCAGTTTATGCACAAACCCTCACTGTGGGCATTTAGCCAATTTTAAAAGGGATCAGGGCAACATTTCTCCATGGATCAGAGTTTGGAAAATAGTGTTGTACAGCCTATTGATGAAGTGCTAGAACCACTGGGATTTTTTTTTTCCCCAGAGTCACAGAATGGCTGAGGTTGGCTGCTACCTGTGGATATCATATAGTCCAAATCCCTGCTCAAAACAGTGTCACCTAGAGAGGGCTGCGCAGGACCACATCAAGTTTTCAGTTGTTCCACAAAAGGCACATTGCAAGGAGGTGCATAGCATAATTGGTATGAAACACTCCTGAAAGTGTGGCAAAGTGGTATTTGCCTGCATTTCTTGATTGAAGGAGAGCCTGTAAAGTGAGACAAAATGGATGGTCTTGTTTTCAGCAGTTCACAAGGCCCACTGAAAGACACTGCGTATGGCATGTATTGATAACTTGCAATGTATCTATGGTTTCTTTCTAGACAGGAGAACTTAATATGCCCTCTAAATGTGTCCTAAGGGATAGAAGGAGGCCCGGCAAAAGAGAACTTCCCTGCCAGACTAGTGATCTTAGGTTAGCTGTAGCTGTTAAATGCTGAGGATGTGTCACAAGCAAGATACAAGGCAGGATATCTCAGAGGTAGGAAGAGAGGTGATCTTAAGGCTGTTACAAGATCCTTGCTTGCTTTGGAATACAGAGAACACAAAAGTGATTTAATGCTGCAGTTGGTGGTTAGCAATATTCCCACACTAAGCAGACAGACAAAGGATTGGGGCCAGAGTGGCACAGGAGATGGCCCAAGTCCAGCAGAAGAGCAAGCTCGGAACATGCTCCAACCGGTGTGTGCTTTCCCTTTGCACTCCAGCATTCCCTCCCTTCACAAAATTATCCTTAGGATCATCGTATGATGCAGTATTATTAACTTTGCTGGGATTCAGTGTCTCCCAGAAAAACAGGCACCATGTCAGCAAAGTGACAAAGCTCCACCTGCTTCCATCTTCCTGTCCTTGACTTGGGTGGGTGTCAGCAGTGTGGAAATGCAGAAAAAACCATACGTCTGTATTTTTGTCTTCAGCTGGGCAGAGAGAAAGGAAGGAGTTGCCAAACAAAGCAGACATTACAAATAATCTTGAATTTTAATGCAGTAGTTGAGGACAACCTGTGCCCTGCCAGGCTCCTGCCATGGCTTCCTGCCATGGAAGGAAATGAGTCCACATTATCTCCCTTAATTAGAAAATGGGCCAAGAGCTGATTAAATAAACAGACTGCCACATGCTTTAATAAACAGGAAGGCAACTGATTTATCAACATAACTTCAAGAAGGGAGAATAATTGGGGAAGCAGGCAGTAGATGAATAGTAATATTAGCCTGCAGGACGTATGCTCTTTGTTTAAAATAGATTTTATCAGCCTTTTGCAACTCAGTGCAGCAGTTATAAAATCAAATAAAGCAAATGAGTCAAACAGGGTTCCCCCTCCCATTCGGGAGTTGCATAACTTGTCCTTTCTGCAGTCAGAGAGGAGGCTATAGTTTAAAATGCTGCATATCTTTTTCCCATCCCCATCACCATGTTAATTTGACAGATCCCTGAGTCTTTCATAGAGCTGTTTTATGTGGGGACAAAAAAGGAAGCTGGCATAATCACTGACCCCACAGGTGGTCCTGAGGAAAAAAACGCATGTCCAATTGGTTAATTTGGGGGAAAAGAAGAAGTCTGAAAGCAAATCTGCCCTTTCCTGTAGCTAACAGGCAGACAAGGCAGTCTGCACCATGAGAGCTCTCAGGAGACCTTTAAGGCATGCCTCCATGGGGATGCTATCATTAAATAAACTGAGGTTTGAATTTTAAGATGTGGCATCTGCTTTGTGCTGGCTCCTTGTGTGACCAGCTTTATTTTCCACTGGCAGTAGTTCACCTTAATTCACTTCTGAGCCTCTTCCCATGGCCAAAACTGTCTAGCGGAGTGGTGCCTATTACCTCCATCCCACCCTCACCCTGTGTAGGTGACTGCTTTTATAGGGTGCATTAAACACTTCATCTAAATGTGCTTTTTAGTGAGAATCTTAATGCAGCTGCCTCAGCACAGTAACTTACTGTTCAAACGGCAGCCTAGCTACAGCGAGTAATGCCCCTGTACTTCCTTCCTGTGATCCCTTTTCTCTAACAATGGATTTCATAGTATGTAGGACTTAAGAAATATGCCAGAGTACTTTATAAGCACATCATGAGCAAAACAGTCTTGGTTTGGGGAATTTTACTTAATTTATTGCCAGTTAACAAAACTTTTGATTACAGATCTGGGTATTGAGGAAAAAAAGACAATTAAAGAAAACACATGGTGAAGAAACACCTTTCTTCCCCAGGCTCTAATTCAGTAAAAAACTTCTTTTCCCCCTTCCGGGTCTCAGCTCACCTTGGTTTTGCTACACGTTACACTCAGCTACTCCTAACCCTTTGGTGAGGTGAGGGGCAATGCAGGAGATCAGGGATGTGTGTACTGCTTCTTGCTTCTTACTTGTTTTCCTCTACTCCAGCATGGGTTTACCATGGCACACAATCCCTCTGCAGCGTCCCTGCTCTGGTGTGGGTTGCCCATGACCCACAGTCCCTTCAGGGGTGTGCCTGCTCTGTCACAAGGCACTTCCTTCCAAGAGTACGTCTCCAATCACATCCCCAACAGTGCCACCAGCCATGTGTCCTCTCCTCTTAGTGGCTGCTGCTTTCTTAAATATCTGTGAGCAGAGGCACCATGTGCGTCTCTGACTGGTTGAAGTTTTGGCACATGGTGGGTTATTTGCAGCGGTTTCAGGGACAGCTGGAGGTAGCTATGACTCACCTAGGGTAGTTCATGGCTGCCCACAACAAGTCACGCCTATAGCCCCCTGCTACCAAAACCCTACCAATTATGCCCAGTACAAAGCACCCTCTGCAAAGTAAGTCATATGCAATCTGTTGGTTAAAGCCTTGCTTTGTGTTTCCAGTTTTGTTGTGGGTTTCTTGCCTATCTCTGGATAATAGCTCTCTTCATGAGTTTTCCTGTGTGGAATATAAGATCATTTAGCATTTGACAGAAGTATTGTGAACCTGAATTCAACAGTGTTTGCAAAGTACTCTGATGCCACGAAGTAAAAGTTGTAATAAGAGTAGAGCTTGCTCCTAGTTCAACTTCCTACCTTCAGCAGCGAGCTGGATCCTTGACACATACAAAAGGAATGGGAAGACCAAAACTTCCTGTGTTCCTTAACTTGGTGTTCGCTGATTTGCCTTGCTTTTGCTTTGGGAGTTCCACTGGTGAAAATGGGAAGTATGCAAGCACCACGCCACCATGCTTCCTAGCTCTGTAGACTTCACATGACACTAGCAGTCTGTTAGTCTGGGCTCTGAACTACAGATCAAGACCCTTGTTCCCCCTTCCCAGGAGGTAGATTGGATATTTTCAGAACTGCTTCATAGAACACCTCATCTCTATTAAAGTCTTCTCAATATATGCAACCATATACTCCATCCTATGCAACCATATACTCCATCCCCACTTGGAAAAGGTGTAACTCTTAGTAGTTAAGATATAACTTGAGACCTGTTTTTAATATATTTTGCTGGGACAGGTCACTCATCAGCTTTTTTTACTTTCAAGGAATACAAGCTGCTGTTTGCAAGGCAACATAATCCCTTCCAAATTGTTTTTGATTTCTTTAGCTCAACACAGCATAAATCATCATAAGTCTGATTTTCCCTTAAAGACGCATGAGTACCTTCTCTGATATGCATCATTTTCCATTACTCCCATCTCTGAAAAGAAAGGCTAATATCAGGAATAAAGTACTGCTACAGGTAGAGCAGATCCCCCTAAAGGAATCTATCATTTGAAAGTGTATTCTAGCAATGTGGCAGCATCAGGTCACAGAAGAAGTTTCTCTGGTGTAAATAACACTTTCAAAGAAAAAGAATTCCTCCTTCTATTCCTTGGTGTGAGGGGGTGGGGTGTCTTTTCTAGTAGTAGCTGGTGACTGCCTTCAGATGCTTGCTTTGGCTTAGTGATTGCAGAGCCTGTTTACTGCTGCACTCCAAGCTTAGCTGGAGCAGGCACAGAACCTATCATGAAACTAGAGGATCAGTGCAGCTACAGCAACATGACCCCTAGAAAGAGCGGGGGGGAAGAAAAAACTAAAACCTTCTGAAAAGCAATAAAGTTAATGCCAGAGAGGCATTAAACCACAAAATGTTTTGGGCTTTTTTTTCCCCTGGTGGGAAGGTGCCTGTTAGAAAGAGAGACAGAGGCAAAGAACC